GAAGTACGCTGGTACAGTGACAACAGCATGCTTCACCTCCTTGCCAAGGTATGACTCAGCTATCTCCTTCATTTTTTCCCAGTACCATAGCCGAGATCTCTTCCGGGGTGAATTGCTTCGCATCTTTGCCGACTTTGAGCGACACGTGCGGCTTGTTGTTTTTGTCAACGATCTAAAAAAATCTTATTTGCTATTACTATATGGTCTTCGGAGCTTCTAAGTATAAGTATCAGTTCTACATCCTCCAGAATCTTACCTTGAACGGCCAATGTTTCATGTCGTCCTGAACCGTCTTATCAGTGTAGTCTCTACCAATCAATCTTTTTGCATCGAACACCGTATTTTCAGGATTGATTGTCAACTGATTTTTGGCTGCATCTCCTATCATACGCTCACCGGTGTCGCTGGCGAAGGCAACATATGACGGTGTGATGCGATTTCCTAAACATTTGGCTAAGCATCTATCTGTTCACGCATGGAAAAAAGTGATCAAGCAGTTTATGAAAAGATAAAGTCGTTCCATAAGTTTTGGCATTGAAGCATCACCTAATTTATCAATCAAATAATCAAAATGACATCATTTCGGCATCGTACAACTTGCGCAATTTCTTGCAAACATTCTGACTATACAACTAGCCTGTGCTTGCTTTGAGATAGAGCTTTCGAGGGAAAGATTCACGTGATACTCATGCACGAATGGCGCACAGAGGAAAATGCTAGCGAAGCAACGCGTAGGATTAATAGAGCTTCTTGTGGATGGCTTGAGCGTGACTGATCCTCTAGACTATTCTTTTTATCTTTGAATTTCGCGATCGAGTTCCTAGCCGCCTCTTCTGCAACCGTATCACCGCCCTAAGCTCCATTAATCTTGCGCGCGGCTTCATTAGTATCTTCTCCCTAGGCACCATTCGAGCATGAATAGCAAACTCAATTGCTCCCAAGATAGCTTTCTCTTGAAGCAAGCATAGTCAAGTTGTACAATGAGAAAACGCGCATTTGAGCGATACCAACATCAGCAGCATTCACTACTCGTAATTGATGAATTTGGTGTTGATTGTTTGGGTGCCAAACCTTATGGAACGACCTAAAAGTTGAAGCAAGATGTGAACCCGACTTCAAAACAGTCTAATCGAAAATTCTATTCTCTTTTACAATACTCGTCATCACAATTTACTCTGAAAGTCCCCGGGCACTTCTTTGATTCAATTCGTTTCCCCGAATTCATCGTCGCACTATGATCTTCGAAATTTCAGGTGTTGGTTCGGCTAATAACTGAAGATATCGCCTTTTTTTATGGATGCCATATAAGCTCATGACTTGACGATTATCCTTGTAATCTCGATGATAACCGAGCTAAGGCGTTCCCCTAAGGCGTTCATTCGATGGTTGCAAAAGTGTTCGGGAATGAGACTGAACCGCCTTGCTTACCACATAGCTTCCTGATACACCGCATCGATAACCACTGTGCTGTTCAGGTCTCGTAATTAGACATATCACTGGAACGGAAGATCCTAACTATCAGAGATCGGCTACCACAGCTTCAGTCCTTTGCGATGTCTCCAATCCAACTGTACTCTACCCAATAGGTAGATCAAACAGTAGAATAGAGTATGAAGCTCACGGCGCTGTGCAATCCCTGAGGGAGGCGATATGCATTCGACTTCATTTGTAGCATCGTTTCAGAAGTGACTGACTGCATGTCTGGCCTTTACAATTACTCCTGGCCTACGGACGTATCAAGTCAGTGCTGCCTCTCCTCCAAACCCCTTCTGGGACCATGACCCCAGCCCTTGCGTCTCTTTCCACTAGCGTGCCATTGTTAAACGCGACATGCTCCATTGTTAGACGCGATGCGCTGGGAGTTGGGTCCATGGTCCCGAAAGAGTTGAGCAAATCTGGTACTAATTCAGCGATCTCGGAGGAATCGAAGGCCTGGCACGCTTTGGGACGCGAGATCGCAGCAGAAAGGATAGTGAAAAAATGTTTTGAAGTTGAAAGCCAAATCAAACCCCACCTTGATCGTTGGCAATGATCTCAACTCGGCCATTTTTGTATACTCCAACACAAGAATACGTGGTACCGAGATCGATTCCTATGATTGTCCCATACTTGACATCCTCAAAAAAAAAATATTAGCCAAATCAAAGGTTTGCAAAACTTTTAATCGTAGGTGGGGATTGAACCCGCATTTCACCCATACTGGGTACAACTGTATACCAATTAACCGAATAGGATAAAAACAAGCAATAGTAAAGCAGAATTCACCTTCTTATCATCACTTTTATTTTCATCGGTGAACACCCCAATGGACAATAGGCCTAGAAAGCCCCAGACGAACAACGTTTTCATCGTCGTACACACTTACGAGACTGATCTGAAACAAAAGAGAGATCAAAATAGATCACAGCAATTGCTGTGAGCAGAAGGAAACGATGAGATCTGGCGATATAAAACGTATAAAAGAGGAGAACGAGAGGAAGAAAAAATGAGGGCCGGTGACCCTTCCTGATCTACTCTGCTGCGGTGTAGATCAGGGCTGGCGATGTATCCTGATCTGCCTGATACGGTAGAGGCCACAACAACTAACGGAGGGCAACGAGGACCGGCGATTTAACCCGATTTAACCCCCTAACCCCGACGGTAGATCAAAACAAAGAAAAAGAGAGGAGCGCCGATACGGTAGAGACCGGAAGAACGAAAGGAAGAGACAGTGAGAGATCGGTTGGTCCGAGACGGCCTTAAATACGTCGATACACGTCACAGTCGACGTGGCATCGTCTCGCTCCGCCCACTTATTGATCCAGTTAACTCGTGTGATCAGTGGATATTGGAGGAATTAATCCGGCTCAGTGAAAATAAGAGGAGAAAAACTGGGGAGGCGAAGGACTGCACGAGGTCTTTTGGGTTCGTGCCTCGACGTCGATAGACTTAAATACGCCTAGGCTTCGTCATCACTGCAACGCTGACGTCAGCGCCACACTGCACGCGCCCCGTCCGCTCGCGCTATGCATCGTCAGCATAGCGAGATAGCGCGCTCCGATTGCGAATCCACGTCCCAATGATAATGCTTTTGTGTTTTCAGTAATGAATTTTTATATAAAAGCTCTGAACGAATTTCGGAAGCTCACCCCGTCTGACAGTCTAGTGGAAAACACAGCAAATCCAGAGAAAACAAAGAAAACGAAAATTGTAGTCGATTTGTAGGCGATTAAAAGTGCAGTAAAATAACGCGCTCCGATAGCGAATTCCTGCTCCTGTGACAATGTCTTTGTGTTTTCAGTAATGGTAATTCCACTAGAGGAGTAAGGACGATGATTGTTGTGGTGTAGTAGCGCTCCGACTGTGAATTCCCGCCTCCAAGACAACCCTTTTGCATTTTCACTAAGAAAAATTTTCACAATGGGGGTCCTGCGGCGAATTCCAGTAGGTCCACATTCTACGGTCAGGAGAGGAAATTACGGAAAATCAGGCGAAGTAAAGAGAACGATTCTCGTGGTGTAGTGAGGGACTAATATTCCGTTAAGAAAGTGCGCTCCGATTGAAAATTCTGACCCCATGATAATAGCTGTATATATTAACACGCTGAGAACGATGTGAGCTGTTATTAGCTCACATCGCACGCCGCGCGTGCAGCGGCGCGGCGGGAGCCTCAATAATGACACCTTGCGAGGGGGGTAGGGGAATTTGTTTGGTAATCTGAGGCACTGAGGGGATATCAACATGATTGAATGATGAAATGTAGTAGAAGAGACTTCAGAAAAAAGTACAGAAAAATTTCATAGCTAAGAGAATGAACATGTATCGAAAAATTATCTATGTTTCAACGGTAAAGGCACATTGTTGTGAAAGGGAACATATTTCCAGCTGTTATACAACTTCGCCCACGAACCTCTCTGAGGGATCCCGCCCGGTTAGTCGCGAGGGCGCGTGGCGCGTCTCCAGGTGGTGGATAGGGGAATAAACGCGAACCAAAAGCGACCGTGTGCTTCCCAGAGGCGCAGGTGGATTCAGGGGATGAAAACCCTGTTTTTACAGCGCCGACGTGACAGAACTCTATTTCTACAAGTCAAGTCTGCCAAAAGACTGCAATCAAGCGGCTCGGAAGTACATGGGAGGCGGTTACGAGTCGCCTCCAACAAATAAGCTCCTCCCGCTCCTCCGAGAGAGACTGGCAAGCTACTCGTGAGTACCCAGCCCCCACGTTTAGAGCTTAGCAAGCTATACGTTGCGTATCAAAATGCTAAAAACGGTAACAAATATGGGCCTAATTCCCCTGACCCCGAAAGAGCCCCTGGTACGGCAGCGCCAAGTAGGACGAGTACGGAGAGGCTGCTAAATTCTCAGAGCCAAACTTAGATGATACAGGTGATACAACTTCGCTTCTTTCTTTTCATTCATGTTTTTGTAGCTCATTCGATAGCCTGAGAAATGTCTATTCTTCCACTAAGTTTGCTTTGTGAAATGACTTTTATTTTACTCTCTGCTAACGAAAAAAAGCTGACGTTTTGCAAGTAGAGCTCGTTTCAGTGAGTATCTGCCTTTTCCCTCGAGATTCGAGGTTTTAGGAGAAAGCATCGCCATTGTTTCGGCTACAGATAGCTTTATCGATGTCTCTTCTATCATATTTTACCGTATACTGACGAGCCAACATCCTTTCGCGACGATTAAAATTCCACATTCATTAGAAAACCACCACAGCGTCATTGTGTAGGAGCCGCACTCGCAGCGCAACGGCGCCGCGTGCCGCGCGGGATTTCAGCGCCGTTCTCAACGTGTCAAGTGATGAAAATTCACAATGAAGGTCCTGAATTGGAACAATGTAGGGGATTTACGGTCCTGGGAAATCACTCGAACTTTTGGAGGTCATAATCTTCGAGAGGGAGAGTGAGAGTCAAAATTACTTTGCAGTAGTATTCGAAATTTCCAGTACTTTATTGCATCTTTCTTTAGTGTTATGATCATTCATATATTCCTAAGGAATTGAGTAGTGAGCAAAAACACGTCCTCAGGCGGGAATCTAACCCGCGTTTCATCCTATCCGGGGACGCGTGCTCTACCGCCACATCACAGAGACACAGCCACCAACCTTTTAACAGGTTTGGTCAGGAATGCGATTTCGCACTATAAACCCAGTTGAGCTGACAGTCATGTGATATGTAATACTTATGATTCCTAATGTTTTTGACTGCATTTTTCACAGTGGTAAGATCTTTCTGATACACCTGAGATGATTGAGTCCCCGGATTGGATGAAACGCGGGTTCGATTCCCGCCCGAGGCCATTTTTTGCTCACCACTCAATTCTCTTAGGAATATATGAATGATATAACACTGCGAAAAAAATGCATTAAAATACTGGAAATTTTGAATAATAGTTATCACAATGGCTGTCAGCTTAACTGGATGAATAAAGCGAAATCGCATACCCGACCAATTGTGCTAAAGGTTGGTGGCTGATAGCTAACATTGAGATGTTGAAGTATGAGTGGTCGGGCAAACGTGCCTCGGTGGTGTAGTGGTAGAGCGCGCTCCACATAACATGAAATGCGGGTTCAATTCCTGCCTGAGGCCGTGTTTTTGCTCACCACTTTACAAAAAGGTGGTTGCAATTACACGACTCTACACCTTTTAGGAGGCGATTTTGAACGATTTCAATTGAAAGTGACAGCGGAATGAACATCAGCGGTGCACTTTTTTTCTGAAAATATCAGATAAAACAGCAGTTTGATTGCACAAAACGCCGTCAGGCGGAAAAAATGAGGGCTCTCTCGGTCAAGTAGAGAGCTTTACCACGTCGTCATTATTCCTCTCATCAAACTATCCATCAGAAAATAGCTCATACAGCGCGGAAACGGCTCTTCTAAAGGATGGGTCTAAGGGATGGGACACCTAGGTGAGTTTGGGAGCCCATGACCCATTCGGGGAGAGAGAGAGAGGAGCAGGAGGGGGAGGGTGAGGAGCGGAACTGTAGCTTTGAAAGGGAGGTTGTAGATCACAAAAACCCGCACAGAATACAAGAAGGAGATAAAGTCAGTCCTTCCCGAGACTGTTTTTGGACGGATAACGGTTGTCGCGTCCGCAATCACACCTCCCTCACATGCCCACACGCAACTGAGCGCGGTGTCCGCGACAGCATTGTGATGCGTCGCGTCGGGGCAATTCCCGAAGGGGTTGCTTACTTGCACGGGGATCCCGGATCCCTGGGATTTCGTCTCACTCGGGGGTTCTTTCCTCCATCAGATCCCCTTCTTGTTCGACGGGCTTAGCCTCTTGTAGCGCCCTAGATACTGATTTTGTCAGCGTTCAGTCTCGATTGTCCCTTCTTCAGCATTTCTGGAAGAATCGCTGATTGATTTCGGATTGATTGATTCGTTTTCGTGGCCATTTCTGGCGTCGGAAGCAATTTTTTTGGAATTTTAAGCTTTCTGATCACCTTTTTATCAATCTTGTTGTTCTCTATTTGTTGGCCCTCCGTTCTCTTATGACTTTTATAACTCATAAATCGAGTTTTTTCTCCTCAAGTTTTACTTGTGTGCACTATAGAAGACTTTTCGCTGCACATGAATAAAGTATATCTTTGCGAAAATGTGGAAAGTTTCTAAATTTGTGTTTAACAATAAAATAATGGCAATACCAAAGAGCTCAGCAGACGCAGTGTTCTGGAGTTATCGATTTTGTAGATCAAATCTGTTTTTTTTCCAAATTGTGCCCCAACGTTCACATATTTCCTTTGCTTTATTGAATCAATCTGTATCTAAGGGTGATTTTGTGCATTATGTTTGTTTCTGCGATCATGAGATCGATTTGCCTCTCAAGAAGGGCTATCGATCTTGCAGATCAAACGTAGCTCATCGGGGGTGCCATAGTTGAATGGTTGTGATGCTCGTCACGCGCGCGTGGAGGTGAGCCCCGCCCCCAACCCTCTCCGGCGGTCATCAACAACGTCTTATGAAACGCCACAGCCAGGGAGATTGCAAGGAGACTCGCTCAACCAGTATTCTACGACGTTGAGGAAGAAGACGAAAAAATGAATTGAATGCTGGAAGTATTTGGATCCGCACAGTGCAAAAAAAAAGAAAAGCACTGTGAAGACGGATTAATAAAGTGTCTGAATATGGCCTATCGATTTCGTAGATCAATCACCGCATGCTTAAATTATCTATACAAGACGTTTTAAATTTTACCTGCTTCATCAGATCGATTTGTATCAGCGTGATGGCGTGTTAATGCTTCTTTGGTCGTCAAATCGATTCGCCTCTTCGGTAAAGAGTTATCGATTTTGTAGACCAAATATAAAAGGATAAAGCTCTCGGCGTTGATCAATCCTTGAAGGATGCGCCATGCATTCGACTTCAATTTTCAACTTCATTTGAGGTGATTGAATGCATATCTGGCCTTTACATTGACTCGCGGTGGCCTCCCGCTGAACCGAGTCAGTGCTGCCTATCCTCCCGGACAAGTTTGAGACCTGTCTGGTACCAATTCACCGACCCCGGAGGGATGGATGGCTTGGTGAGCCATGAGCGCGAAATCGAACCAGTGACCTCGTGTGCGACGCAGGACACCTCTAACCACTGCGCCACATGCGCTCCAGACCAAATATATATTGCTTAAATTGGGCGGACAAGACGTTTCCTCCTTCACCTGCTTCATGAAATCGCTTTCTATCACAGAGATCGATTGCGTGTCTATAAGTTTTTTCGGTCGTCGGATCGATTGGCCTCCTCCGGACTGGGCTTCAGATTTTGTGGATCAAATCTGGCTCAAATTGCCAAAGCAAGAATTTCCATTTTCCCCTGTTTCATCAAAGCGGTCCGTATCTCAGAGTGTTTTATTTGTTTCATATGTTTCTTTGATCGTCGGATCAATTTGCCTCCTTCGGAAGGGATTATCGATCTTTTAGATCAAATCTTCATGGCTTAAATCGTCTAAACAGGACGTTTCCATTTTGTCTGCTTCATCAAATCCGTCTATATCACAGAGGGTATGACGTGTTTATGTGTTTCTTTAGTCGTTGGATCGATTTGCCTCCTCGGGAAGGGGGGCTGTGCGTCAGTGGTGTTGGCGTGACGTACGACGTGTTCAGAGTTCACATCCTTTTGAGCGCACCATCTCTCACAATCACAGCGTTGAACTTTCTATTTATTTCAGAGAGACGCATTCGTTCGGACTTACAACAGCATTTTGCTTTACTTTGCTGGCTGGCCATCGCCTACTTTGTGCCCTTACACGTCTTGTAAAGTTCCACTTTATCAGTCGTTTTGTGATAATGTGCTCTTATCACTTCCCAGATATCGTAGGTGTTTGCTTTTGTGGTCGAATGGTGTTATGTCGGGTACTGGAGCGATAAACAGCAAGGGATGCATCCCCAATAGGGTCATCCAAGGGCTCCGAGATTGCCAGCCCAAAAGTTTAAGCCCAATGATGTAGAGTGGTGTGCAGAAAGTTTGCATCAGCCGGGATTTGAACCCAGAACTTACTATTTCCGGGAGCATGTGCTAAACCGTTGCACCACCGACGCTCGTTTTGCACTTTACTCTTTCTACGCTACAACGCGTTTCTGTCAATAGCCAACCGTCCACGGTGTGGCGGGACAGCCATTATTGACATTAAAAGAGAAGGAGTAAGATCTGGGTTTGAATCCCGGCTGATGCAAACGTTTTTGCACGCCACTCTACATCATTGGGTTTATAGAAACATGATAACACCGCATAGGCTGTCAAGTAAAATGATTTCTAAAAGTTCAACTAAAAGCAAATGACCTTCTATTTTTCTGCTGTCGAAAAACCAGTACCAGACTTGTCTGGGAGGTTAGCAACATTGGCTCGGTAACCCACCAGAAGTCTGTGTACAGACCAGATGGACAATGAATTACCTCCAATGATGCTTGAAGAAATCGAATGCATGGCCCATCTTTAAGGGATTGATTGTTGTCAAGAGAGAACTGGCCTTTTTATGACAAATCTTGACGTGTTAGTCACCCATCGCTGCCTTCTTGAAAGTAAAAAAGCGCGTCGTACAAAAACGTAAGTCATTGAGGCTCCAGTGGAATTCTGGCACTCAGCAGGATTGAATGGTAGTCTTGCTGGTGAGTTATTTACTCGAGGTATTTCTCGATGAGCGAAAAGATTACCAGTTGATGAGAGCGATCTCTGTTGTTCATTAACGTCTCAGCATGTCGAGAGGGTGTTCATGCGTGTGGATTGCGATAATTAGTTTTCTTACGAAGTGAAAAGGGCTTTTTTCTAAAGATTACTAAGCAAGAAAGATAGATCCACGAATCCATATTCTTATCAGAGATATACTTAGAGTTGAGCAAAAAGTTATGGGAATTTTTTGGAAGTTTCGTTCTAATGCTCAAATTAGCAACAAAACAATTAACTTTTTCTCTTTTTTTTCCCATCGTTTTGGGAGATTTCGGATCCGCGCGAACTACTATTCCCGCTCATTTTAGTCGAAAAACTTTTGACAGGCTTCTCCAACTTCCTTAAGGTATTCAAATCCACAGCCATTCAAAAGTGGTTGGTTTTGATTGATTTGAAGAGGCTATAATCTTGTAGAGCAACATCTGGACTGTAGGCGTGATGTGCGGGGACCTTGACACCGTCCAGCTTTTTAGACTTGTTCCTCGTTTTCTTTGCCGCAATTCTATCAATATCGATATTCAGTATATTTAATTTTAGCACAATACTTAGACTATCAATAAAAAGCGTCATAGAGATGTCAAAAAATGAAACTTTCAAAAATTTCCGGCAACTTTTTGCTCAACCTAGTAGATCCGCAACTCCGAGAATGTTGCTAGCTATTTGATAGATGTTATCACCAAATAGCTAAGCCTACATTTTAGACACAGACTCAAGACAACACTATTGGTGAATACGCGTCAAAGCCTTACCCACTTATCTTGGGCCCCAGGGACTTGACTGGAAATAATGTTCTGGGTTCAACGTTTTGAAGGAGCGCCGTCTAAAATATCCGAATGTATCTTTTTCCTCATAGAACAGATTTTAGGCCGGCTTGGTTGAATTGATGAAAAACGCAACCAAGCTGATACCAAATCTGCTTCTCATCAAAT